AGTAGAGCCGAATAATGCAGTCAAGGAGGTAGCACATTTTCTCATGTTTGGGTACTTTCCCTCTGTGAGTAAGTTCCAGAACTGTTCATGTGTTGGCTTGTAGTGTCAAGATCTCCCATTCTGTATGAAAGTGATACGTTTTTGTCTTCTTACTTGGTCCAGCTCCCTCACTCATTTTAATACCCTTTCTTACGTTTAAGAGGGAAAAAAAAAGGTCTAAAAATTGGCGGTAATTTAGCTGGTCAGTTTTGCTGCACTTAGCGCAGTGGTTTGCACATGCATTTGACACCTAAGATTGCATCTGATTGGCTGCACTGTATATCAGTTAAGTGATGGGATTGATGATAAACTTATGTCTATTTTTTTTAATGCCATGCGATCTACGACACTACATTTGCGAGAGACTAGTAGATGGCGACGTATTGAGCACCCCTGCTGTAAGTCTTTGGACGGGGAGACTTCCAAGGATAGATGCTCAACCTTTGACTTTCCTGTGAGCAGTGAAGTGTAACCACTGCACAACCAGGCTGTCTTCCCCAAACTTCCTAACACCTTAGGGTAAATTAGTTTAATCTCACAGCCCTCCCAAGAGTATCGACACAGTCAAATTCTCTTCAAAAAGAAAATTTCCAATATTTAGAGTATTTATGTGAGTGGTACACACTGTATATCACCTGACTTCTTATTCTACAACAGAATTGTAACTACTTTATTAATGGAGCCGCTCAGATTCCATCAAATGAAAAATCCAGTACCTTTGGCATGTTTCCTGGTGCAGGAAAGATAGAACCCCAAAAGTTGTGGAGACTGTCAAATTAGTCGGTCTGGTTCAGCACTAGGTTCAGACCTCCATTGAGCTATTTATCTCTGTTGTACCTCCAAAAGAGGTCATCAAACTGCGACCTGATGACAGGCCAAACTCGACCCCTTCCTCAAGTTGACAGATGATGTAACTGTCACACTAGCCAAGCACATAACCATTGCATCACCAGGACTCCTCAAACTAGAGCTGTTGTTGTTAAACCCCACTCATTGCCAACTAGTCCATTCTGACTCAGAGGCACTCTGTGTACAACAGAATGAAATAGTGTCCGCCCAGTCCTGGGCCACCCTCACAATCCCATGTTGGCCCCATTGTTGTAGCCACTGTGTCAATCCATCTCATTGATGGTCATGCTTTTTTTCTGACCTTCTATTTTACCAAGTATGGTAGGTACATTATCTGGTGTCAATTTGAGAGGATTACAAGTAAAGGCGGGG